GTAATTTTCTTTAAAAGAACCAAATGAACATTCTGTAACTGGAAAACATTATCTGAGTTAGAATTAACTGCCTGGGCTTAAAGGCTGACTGAATACAGCAGAAGAAAGGTTCAGTAAACATGGAGACAGGCCAACATACATTAACCAAAGAGAAAAAAAAGTCCAAAGAACAAAAAGAACACAGGTTGATACACGTGAAGGTGAATATCAAAGAATCTAATATATATAAACTAAAGTTCTAAAACACAGATAAAAAAAAGAACAGAAGAAATACTTTAAGAAATAATGGCTCAGGTTTTCTACAATTGATGAGACATCTCCAAAATACAAAAAAGAGAAAGAAAATCCTACACCTAGGCATATCATAGCCTAATACTAAAAGCCAAGATAAATTAAAAAAATTTAAAACAACCAGACCAAATTAAATAAATAAATAGGTCACATTATATTCCAAGTTTGGGAGGGATGGAGAAACACTGCAAATAATGAATGACCTCTCCTCAGAAAAAATAAGACTCAGAAGATAACAGAGTAACACCTTTAAAGTGCTGAAAGGAAAAAATTACCAATCTAAAATTTCATACCCAGGGAAAATATCCTTCAAAAAATGAAGGCAAAATAAAACATCATGGGAAAACAAGAGCTGAAATAATTCACTGCAGGCAGACCCACACTTCAAGGAACACAAAGGAAATTCCTCAGGGTGAAAAAAATTCCAGATATAACATCATTTTGTAAGAAGGAATGGAGCACGCTAGAAGAGGTAAATATATGGGTAAATAAAAAGACATTTTTTTTTTAAATCTTAAGACTACTGACTACTTAAAGCAACAATAATACAATGTATTGTAAAATATATACTATGGAAGTAAAATATAAGACAATGAAGTATGCGATATAAATAGAACTAAATATCATAAGGTCATTACAGTGCTAACAAAGTAGTAAAATAAAAATTCAAGTTAAACCATAAAAAGTTAAAGATGCCTACTGTAATTTCTTGTGTAATCTATTCTTTAAAAAATTCCAAGAAGGTATAGTTAAAAGGCCAAGAAAATGGAAAGAATATAAAAACATTTTTTTGATAAATCTTAAAGACAGAAAGCAGGAAAAGAAAGAACAAGGAACATATGGAAGGCAAAACAAAGAGCAAGATGAGAAGCTTAAACCAAATCATATCAAGTTATATAGTCAATGTAAATGGACTAATTTTACCATTTAAAAACGGAAAATCAAATTGGACTCAACAAGACAAAAAATACATGACATTTATAAGAGATACACCTTAAATACAAATTTAAGGCAAAAAATACTGGAATTTCAATAAAGAAAAAAAAACATAAAAGAGTTATAAAATTAGTAGTTTAAAAATTAGTAGTTAAAAAATTAGTAGTTTACTTAATATAGTTAACTTTGTCTTATCAAAAAAACATATATTCAATCTCCAGACCTACTAGCTATAAAATCTGATCAAAATTCAGCCAAGAAAAATAAAAATTTTCTTATAGGGCCAGACTGTAAATATTTTAGGACTGTGAGCTGTACAGGCTCTATCACAAATGTTATGCTATGTTCCAATAAAACTTTATTTACAAATACAGGTGGTTTGTTTACAGGAGATAGTTCACCAATCACTACTTTAAAGAGAAGCAAATGATCAGGCCACATTTTCTAACCACCATACATTAAACTAGAAAATTATAACAAAGTATTAGTTAACAAACAAATAAATCAATGACTCGGAAAATCTTAAGCTGATTACATTACTCAGGTTCAAAGGAAAATCAACAATTATGAACCATGTTAACAGTTAATAATGAGAATATTATATATAAAAGTTCATGGAATAGGGTAAAAGCTGTATCAGGAATATTCATCATGTAAACAAGAAAAACTAAAATGAATAAATCAAAGAGTTGCAAATTTGGAAATAAAGCTAATAAAAAAGGTAAGCCTGAAAGCTAAGAGTTAGTAAATATGAAAATAGTATTAGGAAAAGCTAAATTAATTTTAGATGACTATTATATATATAACTTTATGTACATTTTAAAATATCAATGAAATGGACAATTTCTTGGGAAAATAACAGACTACCCAAATTACCTAAAGGAAACCTAAATCTATGAATGACAATAAAACAGAAAATACTGTCCAAACTACCAATAAAAAACTTCAGGAAACCTAGGTCAGCCATTTTTATGTATGAGTTCTACTAAACTTACAAGGAATAAACAATTTATATGATACATAAAGCACAGTGAAAGGTGTAAACCATGACAATTCACCTTGTGACGTTAGCACAACTCTAAAACAACTCTGCAAAAAGGGGATGAAAAAAAGGGGGAATAAATAGATGTGAAAACATAAGTGTGAGTGTATATGTCTATCTGATGAGAAGTGTTCCTCGTTTAATTACTAAACTGCTACAAATACCAGAAATATAAACAAAACCAGTCAAATCAAACTTGTTTCAAAATGCAATTTTAAGGTTCTTGCCACTTTTTTCATTCTCTAGCCGCATTAATTTTTATAGCTCACTGCTGTCTACTGCCAAATAAGAATCCTTATTCTCTTTTATATGATCACATTCTGTCGTTTCCTCTAATGACTTTTCACCTTAAATTCCATGATAACCTATCTTAACTGGCAAGGACAAATGAATTTCATAAGTATCTCAACAGCCAACCACAAATTGGAAAACTTGATGGGCAGAAAAACAGAAAAGGAAATACTGTACTAGAGAAAAAAACATGACAGGTTTGGGTGATACTACAAAAAGATTTTGTAGCTCTAAAGTAAGTAAGCAGAATCCTTTCCTCATATTAAATGGGAGTGTGGGTTTTTTTCTTATGTTTGTTTATTTTTGAAGGAGAGACAGAATGTGAGCGGGAAAGGGGCAAGCAGAGAGGAAGACAGATATCTGAAGTAGGATCTAGGCTCTGAGCTGTCAGCTGGAACTCAGGAACTGTGAGATCATGACCTGAGCTGAAGTCAGGAGCTTAACCAACTGAGCCACCTAAGTGTCACAGGAGTGTATTTTTTAACCAAATTTTGTTAGAACAAGTTACAGAAAAGGTAAAAACCCTTAAAAAGCATATGTTGTAATTTCATGGTTTATTAGTGAAATAAAACATACTGTTCCCAGAAGGGAAAAAGTATTTTTACAATATAATTATATTTGCATTAAATACTATTATATGTAGTTCTTTACAATTTATTATGAACAATAATTATTCAAAGAGCAATGAAGATTTTAATTAACTTTAATGGCCCATAGACGCCTCCCCCACCCGCCAAGAAAAAACAAAAAAGAAAAAGGAAAAAAACCCACCAGTAACAAATGCTTCTAATAAAGTACCTTATTTTTACAGATAATGTCACTTTTGCTCATGGGGGTATTTAAAAAGAATTTAACTCAAATTCAAGCAACCAGTACCCTACCTGGTACTTAGTAAAATGTGATAAATTGGACTTCATAAATATTAAAAACTGTTGCTCTACAGAAGACCTTGTTAAAGGGGTAAAAAGACAATCAACAGACCGGGAGAAAATGTTGGCAAACCACATTATCTAACAAAGGCTAGAATATATAAAGAACTCTCAAATCTCAATACACACACCAACCAAAATAATCTAATTAGAAGACAGTGAAAAGATATGAGGAGATATTTCACCAAAGAAATACAAATAGCAAATAAGCACTTGAAAAGATGCTCAGTACCATTAGCCAGTATTGAAATGCAAGTTAAAAGCATGAGATACCATTACACACCTATCAAAATAGCTAAAATAAAAATAGTGACAACAAATGCTAGCAAGGATGAGGAGAAACCAGATCACTTAAACAATGCTAGCAGGCATGTAAAATGGAACAGTCATTCTGGCAAAGACTTGGCACTTTCTTTAGAAACTAAACATGCAACTAAAGTATGTTCTGACTCTACCCTCTAGACATTTATACAAAATAAATGAAAACATACGTTCACAAAAAACCCTGTATGAAAGCAATTCCACTCCTAGAAATATCCCCCCCCCACAATTTAAAACAGAAACTTGGTTGTATCACAATGTTCAAAGTATCATTATTCACAATAGTGAGGAAAAAAAAAAAGAAAAAAACCCAAGTGTCTATTCACAGATGAATGGACAAACAAAATGACATATACATAAAAGAAATATTATTCAGTTATAAAAAGGAATGAAGTTCTGATACATGCTACAACACAAATGAACCCAGACAACATTATGTTAGACGAAATAAGCTAGACAAAGAAGGGCAAAATAGTATGATTGTACTATGTAAAAAACCTAAAAAGGCAAATTCAGAGAGACAGAAAGTAGATTAGAGGGTACCAGGAGCTAGAGGGGGAGGGAAATGGGGAGTTATTGCTAAATGACATTGGCATTTGTGTTTGAGATAATGAAAAATTAGGAGCTGACAAAGTTTTGGGCAGATGGTGATAATGGCTGTACAACACTGTGAATATAATTAATGCCACTGAGTTGAACAATTAAACATGGTTAAAATGGGGAATTTGTTATATATATTTTACTACAATAAAAAACTTCACAAAATCAGTCCATGGCCTGTGACACCAGGGCAACACCTAGCAAAAGAGACCATTTCAATATTCAACAGCACAGAATCTCCGACAGAAAACAATTCCTACCTGAGACAAGCTCATAAACAAACTTTACAAAACACATGAGGAAATAACCCACCAGGAACAAGTCATAAAACAGAAAACAATAGCCCCCCAAGCATTTAATACGATGACACAAGAAAACATAAAAATTTAACACCTTTATTGTATCTCTAGCTCAGGTCTCAATCAAGGGCAGATTCTGAGTGTTTGAAAATGTAGAAGGTATCCCTCAGTCATAATGGCAGTTTGTCCCACAATGCATTGGGCAGTTTCAAAAAATGAAAGTAGCACCTGCAGCTAAGCTCGAGCGCGGTGGCAGTGTGGGCAGCGGCTGCAGCGAGGGAGTTTGGTGCAATGTCTTGCACCATTTTGATGGTGCAGTCTACCAAGAGGCCAGAAGGCAGAACTTACACTATTAATCTGTGAATGAGTGCACGGAAGGCGTCTGTAAAATGAATGAATCTGAAGAGAAGAGAAGGAATCCCAACAGCCCCTCTATCACGTATGATATCAGTCAGTTGTTTGATTTTGTCGATGATCCGGCAGACCTCAGCTGCCTTGTTTACCAAGCTGATACCCACACATACCAGCCATATAACAAAGACTGGATTAAAGAGAAGATCTATGTGCTCCTTCCTCAGCAGGCCGGGAAATAGTTGAGTTGGAAGCAGTAGGGGAATAGGAGTGGGCTTGGAACACAAGTGTGTACAATGTGCTATAGTGGAAGCTTTGTGTTACAGGAATCCTGTTTCCATTTTGGTATCCCTAGCCAGGACTGAATGTATTAGATAAAATGTGAGGATCTTGTTCAATCTGAAACCCCCAGGGCCCCCTTTCTCCCTCCTCTCCCCCCTTTTTTGTACTTAAACATTTTTATGATAATTTAGATGGAAGTTGTTTGTCAGTTAATGTTGGTTCCAATTCTTCAAACTGTTCATATCTTCTTTATAACATTCACTATACTAATCCTTCTTCAGGGGGGTAGGGGTGGTGACAGTTAAATGTCTTCAAGATAAAGTCTTAGTGAAAAATGAATAAATGTTCTTTAGCTATTAAAAAAAAAAATGAAGGTCAGAGCAATAGTGCTCTGACCTTAGTAATATGCCATGGTTTTCCTTGCTCTCTGTCCTGGACACATCTAGTCATGTTTAACTACGTGAACAGATAAAGTTAGCTCTAGTGCCTTATAAGTCACACCCCCACCAAAATCAACTATTCTTTTTCATCCTCAGTTATTCTCATTCATTCTTCCACAGAACTTAATTATTTTAACCAATTAAAAATGAAGCTGTTGCTGTCCTTGAATGAAACTGCAGTAAATTTAAGTGTAAATCAAATAAAAGGATTGTCTTTCCATTTGTCCAACTCTTACAGACTTCAGTGAGATTCCCTGTCAAGTTTATCCCTGAGAATATGATAGTTATCATTGTGAATGTAAATTTTTAATTTACATTTCTAATCAGTAAATACTGGTAGAGCTAAAAGTGTCAACCACCTGCCAAATTATTTTATTTCTAGTAGATATTTACTGGATTCTCTAGGGTTTTCAATTCATTTAAAAATAAAGATGACACTGTCTTTTCTTTTCCAATCTAATTATTTTACTTTCTTGTCTTTATTGTATACTAGAATTTCTAAACAATTGTGAAAAAGAGTGGTAATAGGAGGAATCATGACCATGTTTCTATTTTAATAAAAGTGGCTGCTGTATTTCTTTGTTCAGTATGATGTTTAGTTTTGGATTTGGTGACTAGCCTTTATTATACTTAAAGTAGCTTTTTTTCTATTTGATGTTTTTAGAGTCTGTTCAGTTTTATAAAATGCTATTTCAGAATATGTTACAATGTTGTTTTAAAAAAATTTTTTTTCTAAGTTAAAAACCTGTTGATTTTCTGATATATAAACATCTTTTCATTCCTGGCATAAATTCTACTTGTTGTAGGACATAATTAGCAATTATTTATATTTAAATATAAGTTTTACTTACTTACTTAGGCTCACTTTTCTTTCTATACCTCCTGCCTTCTTCACATTTATTTTTTACTTTGCTGGGAGATAGCCTCAAGTTTTGTTCTCCCAACAGCTACGTTACACTAGGGTACTATGCTTTCTGAGTTCTCAAATATGTGAAATTAGCAGTTACTTTTCCTGTTCATACTTGAATGATGGTTTACCATTACAATGATGTAATGATACCAAGTAATGACATTAACATCTATCAAAGAAGTATATTTTAACCTTAACTATTTACTTGCATGTTTAAAATAATAAGACAAAAGTTAAAAAAATATATAAAGATAACTTTTAATTTTTTAATATTTATTTTTGAGAGAGAGAGAGAGAGAAAGACAGAGGGGGGAGGGGCAGGGAGAGAGGGAGACACAGAATCTGAAGCAGGCTCCAGGCTCAGAGCTGTCAGCATAGAGCCCGACGTGGGGCTCAAACTCACAGACTGTGAGATCATGACATGAGCTGAAGTCAGAAATTAACCCAGGTGCCCCTAAACATATAACTTTTAAAAGACACAGAAACACATATATTTCCTTTATAACTCATAATTTAAATGATTCACACAATTGTTTTTTTTCATAAAACCTAAGGAGCATCTAGTCCTACACGTATCAAGAATAATTTTTACATGAAAATTTTGAAATAAGTTATAAAATTCAAAACTGGTATTTACATGTGCTTAGGGAAAAAACATTGCCTGAGAAAATTCATTTGTTATTTTTGGGTATAAAATTTATTTCTGTAAAGTATTTATATAGTGGCCTACAAAAAGTGCAGATCAGCAATTTAAAGAACACATTACAACAGACAATTTCCCTTTATTACAAGTTCTTTTTAAATGAATATTAAGTTAGTTTCCTAAAACAAAACAAATAATTATGCTTATGAGAAAACTTACCTTATTAATCTTAAATATAAGCTAGGAGCAAAAGTTAATATAAAGAATAAAGTCCACCCAATCATTCATTAACTGTTAAAGAAAAAAAGTAATAATGAAAACACTAATGGTGTCATTCCACAGGCATTCTTTTTTTAAAATACAAAATTTATTCTTGCTTTAGAATTTCCTGCCTTGAAGTATGTTTGAAAAAAAGCCATGCTGCTTCTCTACAAATATGCTTCTTATCATACAGAATACAAAGCACTATTTTTATAACTACTCTAACTTATAACTACACTAAATTATATACATTTTACATGAAAAAAACATGGAGAAAAATAAGTAGGAAAGACCTCCCAAAATCATTATTGATATAATTAAATACCTAGTAAATTAAAAGGAATTAGCTTTAATACTACAGTAGAACCTTGACACGTATGAATTTAATAATATCTCTGCTAGAGTAGTACTGACTCTGAAGCCTAAGATATAATAATTTTCCTAAAGTGCAAATATGATGCCTACCTTTAATCATAATTGTATGTATACATAAGTCACTTATGTGGCACTAAGGTCAAAAAGTCTATTCACAACTGCATCCTAATGTGGCTTTATTGATTTCCACTAGTATCTTATAAGAAGTAATAGTTGTTAAGTGATAGAAAATGCTAGTGCTGGTATCTAAAGTAAATGAGTGAAGGTATCTAAGAAAATCATGGTTCTAGGCCAGAAAATAAATTTGGGATAAACCATTTCTTTAGGTGTCAAATTTAGAAACAGTTTGGATCTCTGACCTCTATGAGAGTGTGTGTGTGTGTGTGTGTGTGCGCGCGCGCGCGCACGCGCACGATTAAAAAATTACCAGTGGAATGATGCCAATTATTATTTGTCTTCTGCCAAACTCAAACATAACTAAATGTAATGTAGTTCTCTGGATTGGAATCTGAAGCATAATGAGGACATTAATGGAAAAAGTAATGAAATCCAAATAAAGATCTGGAGTTTAGTAAACAGTAGTGTACTAATGTTGGCTTCTTAGTTCAGACAAATGGACCTTGATAATATAAGATGTAATAACAGGTAAAAGTAGGTAAGCAGTATCTGATAATTATCTGTACTATCTTTACAACTTTTCTTTAAATCCAAATTTAACCCAAAATAAAATGCTTACTTCAAAAAGTAAAACAAAATAACTAGACACACGAAGAAATGAAATAACATTCGTAAAAACCAAAAGAAAGAGACAAAAGAAACAGAGACATTTAGTTATCAGACACAGATTTTACTATATTTAGGGAGATAAGAGACAAGACTGAGAATGCTGACAAAGAACTGAAAACTATAAAAAGAATCAAATGGAGTCTACTTGCTGACTGTTTTTTACATTGAAAGGGGGAAAATCAGCATCCATATAGTAGAAAAACCTGGAGAGCATGTTTTTTACATTGAAAGGGGGAAAATCAGCATCCATATAGTAGAAAACCTGGAGAGCACCTTGATTTGGTGATCGATATCACTAATGAGAGACAGATGTGTGCTTCCAGCTGTGATACTCCAAGAAGAAAAAACATACATTTAAGTAACATTCAGATCACAGATACATACCCTGAGTCTAGTCATTTAAAAACAAAAATCAAACACAAAATAAAGGGCATTCTGTGTATCTTTAAAAAGAGAGCCTTTATGCTTCAAAAATGTCAAAAAAGGCTGAATATTTAAAATTAAATGAGAATAAAAAGGCATGACAAGTAATGCAATGCCTTATCCTGATTCGATCTCAGAAATAAAGGAAATTACTGGGCAAACTGACAAAATGTGGAAAATAAATGGTAGATTAGATCAAAAGTATTATATCAATGTTAAACTGAGATTGATAACTATACTGTGGTTATGTAAAAGAACCTCCTTTCCTTAAAAAATTCACACTAAAAATTTTAAAGAGTAAAGGGCCATAATGTATTAAGTTACTCTCAAGTGATTTTTTAAAAGTAAGTGGGAGAGAAAGGATAGAATTGGGGAGAGAGGGAGACAGAACATGTATGTACATATATAGAGAGAATGATAAAACAAATCAGTGTTAAGTTAGTAATTCATGAATCTGTGGACGGATATGTGGAGTTCTTTGTACTATTGTTGCATCCTTTCAGTAAACTTAAAATTATTTCAAAAAAATTTTCAATTGGCAAATGGAACTTCTAGGACTGAAATACACAAAAAACTAAAATTAAGAACTAAATACATTTAATAGCAGCTTAACATACCACTGAAGAGTGAATTAGTGAACTGTAAGATACATCAAAAGAAAATATCCTACATAAAGCATATAGAGAAAAAGGACAGAAAGATTTTAAGAAACATAAACGATATGCATGTGGTCTACCAAATGCATAACCATAGTCCTAAAAGCAAAGGAAAGAGTGAAAATGAGGGGAGAAAAAAATCTCAAGAGATAATGGATAATAGCTTTCCAAAACTGATGAAAGACAACAGCCACAAATTCAAGAAACATTATAAACATAAATAGAAGATGAACAAAGATGGAAGAAGGTATTGTGCTAAGTAAAAAGTCAGAGAAAGACAAATACTGTCTTTGGTATTTGCTATGTGGAATCTAAAAAACAAAATCAACCAACTAACCAACCAACCAAATAGAAACAAACTTGTAAATACAAAGGGAGGAGGTTTGGGGATGGATGAAAAAGGTAAAGGAGATTAAGAGGTACATACTCTCAGTTATAAATAAGGCATGGAAAGGAAAAGTACAGT